TTTGCAGAAATTATGTTTAACCTATTGGTATTAATGCACCCTGGTTTTGTTGAGTTAAGGAAATATTTAAGTTTGATGTGAACACATAGAAGTTTTTCCTATGTTCTGTTAGCAAGAAAATCCAACTGATTAAGAGTTAAAATTGTAAGACTGAGAAAATTGACTATATAGCAACATATATGCTAATTCAAATGGTTCTGTTAAGAGTTTGCTTTGAGTTGTAAGATTTGGAGAATTGTGACTATGTATAGCAATATTTATGTTAACCTGTTAATGGTAATGATGAAGCTAAGGCATTAAGTTTGCAGTTGCCTAAAGAGTTTTTGGTTTAGATAGGGCTTGAGGCAGCTAAGACTGCTATAGTCACCTTGGACCTAATTCAAAAGAGAAATGCCATCTTTATCATCCTCTACTCCCATATTGGGAGGTGTAACAGCTATGGAGATTGCTGTAAGCCATTAATCAACAGTTATTTTTTATATATTCAGAAATGGGGACCTGTGGGAGCCCATTTTCAGGTTCCTCATGGCTTTACCCAGCAGGTCTGCATAGAGGATGATCAGGACCACGGGCCTGAGTGCAGGTGTCTGAGATGGTCTGCACTTGGCTGTGCTGGGAAGGAGGTCTTTTGCTCCACCCCTTGGCATATCCATAATTACCCTGGGCCAAAGACAGTCGGGGCCCATTGGAAAACATTCCAGGCCCTCTGGAGGCTATCCTTTATTTTCTAGCTGTTTATCTCCACAAGATTCTCCACAATAAATCCTTCTATCTAATATTTCCTGCTGCTCACACTCAAGAAAACTCTGGGGAGCTGTGGGGTTGGTGGGTAAATGCCCCACAAACAAATATAAGCACAAATTATGTTCAGTAAACAAAAAATATGACAAAGATATTAAAGAAATACATATCAGAAAATTAGATTAAGGCATGAAAATGTTGAAGACTTGCCTCCTTACAACATGCACACATTGGATCATTTATAGAAGATTTCTTACAACTGAGACACAGACTAAAATTGTACCTGTTCTTCACAGAGCCATGGCAACAACAAAGTGCACCCCTGATGATCCTCAGCCCAGAAGACAGCAAGATCTCCAGGAGATGCTGACAGAAGTGGGGTTGTCTGTTGACTACTGGCTACCTAAGCTGCAGAAAGACCTGGGTGTGACCTGTACCCAAGCCTTACAACACTTAAAAGAAAAAGATCTCCAGAAGCTGAAGTCCCAGACACAACACACATGGGAGGAAAAGGCTCTGGAGAAACTGCTTGACGCTTCACAGCCAAATAGTGTTGCAGAGTTCCAGAAAAATCTAGGGGAGATGATAAGGAACAGGCAGAAACAGGCAGAACAGGCCCTGCAGGAGTTCAGGGCCTTGCAGTTAGAAGGAAAGAACAGACAGGAAGAGGCAGTGAAGAGAAAAGAAGCAGAGCTGAGACAAGCAATGGAGATACCTGAAGAGTGCTGGCCAGGGCCTGAGGTGTCCCTGAAAGATGTCACTGAAACAATGGAGAGACAACTGAAGGACATGGAGCTGAAACTGACCTACAGGGGAAATCTCCATGACAGAGACTTGGTAAGATGGGCTTCTGGAGGACTGGCTCTGCAGGGAATTTATAAGACCTGCCACCAAAAGGACCTGGTAGCAAGAAGAGAAGAACTGCTCAGGGTCCCCGAGGAATTCTTCCTCTTTGGATCTGAGCAAGGAAAAAGGATGGAAGCAAAAGAATTCATATCTTCTAAAGAAGAAACCCTGTTCACCAAAACTGTGGAGAAGTTGGGATTTGGAGCAATGATATCAGCCAAGGGTGGATGCTATGGATTTAGCCTGGAAGGTGGTAGAGATCAAAGTAAACATTCAGACTCTAAGGACATCTGTGAATCATATTCAGAGCATTCTTATTTCTGCTCAGCCAAGTATTGCTATATGCCACTGGTCTCCTCTCACTTTCAAATTGATCAGCTTCAGCTCTCCACTGCTGCTCTCAAGGAACTGAAAATCATTGAAGAACAGCTGGAACACACTGATGGACCAGACAGATTCCTCTTACTGAGGAACAGGACTGAAAACTTCTTCAACAGATTTGGCTCTCATGCTAATCTAGGACCTCTGCACCTTGGGGGAATCTACTGCTGGAAGGCCATTTCAGAGGGTTTCAACAGTGACCAGCTGGATTGTGTGAAGCAGCAGACAGCAGAGGCCTTGGAGAGTTACATAAGAGGGAGCTACATTGGCTGTGGAGTTGAAGTTGGGGCAAAAATGGCAACATCAGACTCACATTTAGTAAAATCCTGCCAAAATGCAACTAATCAACAGTTCCAAATCAAAGTCCAATTATCTGTGGCCCAGATAGGTGGACCACCAGAAGCAAATGGATTTGTTCAGTGGACAACTGGCCTTCTCACCAGCAACAAAACCTGGTCTGTCATTGACCAAGAACTTCAGCTGGTACCCATTTGGGACATCATCCTATCTAACCACAGAAGCAATTTTAAGGACACCTTTCTGGTGGCTAAATGCCTGGCAGACAACTACTCTGCTCTGACAGGTCTTGCTGCCCACATCCAGGATGGAGAAGAGTTGCTGAACACCATAGAGGAAGCAGAACTTTTCCTGAATAATGTGAAATTCTGGGAGGTCTCTGACCCTGAAGAACAGCTTAACAACCTGGTGGATTTCATGCAAACACTGGCTCACAAGACAAAAGGTTATGATGTTTGGATTAATACATGCCTCACAAATTTGGATCTACAGAATTTTCTCATAGGAACTGTCAACTATTGCAAGAACTCTTCCATTAAAAGGTCTCAGTTTATTAAATCTCAGTTCCTCAGCCTTCTAGAACCTCATGTTTACAAACTGAAAAACTTTCCTCAGGCACATTCAATCATGCAGTGGATCTACCAGGAAGACTCAGAGGAACAGCAACGCAAAATCACTGAATTTTCTGAATTCCTTAAAAGTTTGAAAGAAATCCAAAAATCTCTCATAGAAGTAAATGTCAAGTCTGAGTTCTCAGAAACAGTGGAAGAAGCTCACAGAAAGGCCACCTGTGAGGTCACCAGAGCTCTTGGCTCCTTCTTGAACCACCTCAGAGAAGCAGAACAGCCAGACATGCAGCTGCTGCTACTCTCCATTGCAGCTGGTGCAGGCTATCAGGTGGAAAGCAATGTTTTTCAGCCTCTCCTGGGGTGCACTGAGATAAGCTTCCTCCTGGATGAAATACAAACTGTCCAACACAGATATCAGGAGCTCAAAACTATCTGCATAGACAGGGCACAGGCATTCCTAGTGCTCAAAGCTCTGACAACCACAGTTGGAGTCTCAACCATTTCTCCAGAAGAAAAAACAAAGCGCTTGGCATTAACAAGGCAGCATATGGAGCCTTTATTGTCTACAAAATTTGCACATGTCCTCACAAAATTTGAAACTGATCATGATTGGGAAAATCTAGAGAATAATTTGAGATTACACATTGATGGGAATTATGAAGACACCATCCCAACTTTGCAGATGGATGAGATAAAAAAGCAACTGCAAAGTCTCTACCCTGAAAAGAAAGAGATTTGTAAACAAAAAGATAGTGAAAATAACCAAAAGGAAACCATAAAAAAGGGACCTTTCTTAGACTTACTCCAACGTCTGGGTCTAGAACATAACTACCTAAAAAAGATGAGCAGAGCTGACTTCCATCTGATCTACAAGACTTCAGTGTACAATACACAGCCAAAATCTGAGCAGGAACTTCCCTTCTATTTCCTACAAAAGCTACTGATGCTAGATTGTGGGTTTAGATATCTAGTCTTCAAAAATCCTGGAAATGCAGAAAACCAAGACTCTGTAGTTCCTTGCAACCAGGAAAATGAGGCTTTTGATCCATATGAAGAATTGTTTGATGACAGAGATGAAGTCACTAATTCTTCACCCACTGAGTCCCAGCCCCACATTCACCCAATGGACATCCAGATGGCCGTTTTTCACTGTGCAGATGATCTTGCCAGACAATATATTCTGTCCAAACTTTCCACTTGTCAATTTGCACTCCCCCTTGTGGTGCCAAATCCCAACACTTCTCAGATTGAATTTTCTCTCTGGTCTCTCAGACAAATTAAGAGAAGTTGGCAAGAGAAAAATGGCTCACAACAGAACAAGAGCTACAGTCACAGGAATCAGCAGATGTGCCGTGTCTCTACCCCCATTGTGTCCTTCATTAGAGTGGGTAATGGCCTCTCTGCTTCCAAATCTCAGATCATGAACTCTCTCCTCAGTAAACATAAACATGACATGTTTTTTCACAGACACTGCAGAGGAAGCCACAAACACTGTCTCCTGATGGAGGGAGTGGTAGAGATCTGCTGGTTCTGTCCTGGCAGCCAAGGTGAGGACATATTTGACAAGTGTGTGGCCTTCACCAATCTTCATGGAGATGCCAAGGAACATAGACAACAACTCAGCTTCCTGCAGGATGTCTCTTCTCTCATTGTGATCCTCATGTCAGCTTCTGATGACAATAAAGAAAACCAGAATCTTGTGAGACACCTGTGTCAGTCATCAAAACCTCTGATCTGTTTGGTTGATGACAAAGAAAAGGCCATAACCAGTCATTCTGGTAAAAAAATGAGGATTGGTATCAGAAATAGAAATGAGGCAGAATTAACAGAGGAGCTCTCAAACACCATCAAACATTTGCTAGAACTCTCTGGCACTCCTCTTAGCTTAGAGGACTGTTCACAAATGGCTAGGAAACAAGGATTTCTGATTGATGAAGATAAAAGAGAAATGAGAGCAGCCAAAGAAAAGGCACAGACTATACTGGACCTCCTGAAGCTATCAAAGTTACCTGAGGTAAAAGAAAACTTGCTGCCCCTGCAGGGACAGCTGTGGCACCATTGGTGTAAGAAGGACAAGGAACTCTATCATCTGAGAGAAAAAGGGAATCGGAGCATTGAACAACACAAGAGTGAAATTGAGATAGAAAAGCAAAAACTACGATGCCAGCAGTTGAAAAAGGCCTTTCCTCTCAATCCTTTGATGTGCTCTGTTCTACAAATTCTCCAAGAAGATTTAGAAATTTACACCAAACTCTATTTCTTACACTGGTTAAGTGTGGTTTTAGAAAATCTAACCTCAGGACACTTGGAGAATTTGCTTAGGACACAACAAGCTTTGTGGTCAAAGGTACAGGAAGAAAAGCAAAAGGAAGAGAAGAGCAGCTCCCTGACACTCTGGCAGAAGCAGATAGAATCCATCTCTACTGAGATTCTTAACTGCACTTTAGGAACTGAGCACCTTCTCCGAGAAGTTGGCCAGATCTATGAAGCTCTGGAAGAAACTTGCTCCTCTAGAGATAGCCTTTTTCTACACCTCCCTGAAATTGCTGCAGACCTTATGGTAGCTGGTGTTCCCATTGAGCTGATGGATGGGGATGCTTCCTATGTACCCCTAAAATGGGTGGCATCAATTTTTGACAAGATCTCAGAGAAACTTGGAGACCAAAGACTGTTCGTTCTCTCTATTCTTGGTCTGCAAAGCTCAGGGAAATCCACTTTGCTAAATGCCCTGTTTGGGCTGCAGTTCACAGTCAGTGCAGGCAGGTGTACCAAGGGGGCCTACATGCAGCTCCTGAAGGTGGAAGAGACATGCACAGAGGAACTTGGCTTTGATTTTGTGCTTATTGTAGACACAGAAGGACTTCGGGCTCCAGAACTCAACAACAAATCCCACAATTGGGACAATGAGTTGGCAACCTTTGTCATTGGCCTTGGAAACCTGACTCTGATCAATATTTTTGGGGAGAATCCATCAGAAATGCAGGATATCCTACAAATTGTTGTCCAGGCCTTTCTGAGAATGAAACAAGTGAAAATCTCCCCCAGTTGTCTCTTTGTCCACCAGAATGTGGGTGAAGGTACAGCAAAAGACCAAACTATGGAAGGAAGGAGGCAACTGGAGCAGAGACTGGATGAAATGACAGCATTAGCTGCTGAACAGGAAGAGTGCTCCAACATAACCCGCTTCAGTGATGTAATTAAATTTGATATCAATTATCATGTCTACTACTTTGCTCACCTCTGGGATGGCAATCCTCCAATGGCCCCTCCCAATCCTCGCTATAGCCATAATGTCCAGGAACTGAAGAATGAGATTCTTAAGACTGCCCAGCAGAAATCTAGGGGAAGGATCATGAAGATCTCAGATGTAAAAATCCGTGTTCAAGATTTATGGAAAGCCCTGGTCAGTGAGAACTTCATTTTCAGTTTCAGGAACACCCAAGAGGTCATAGCCATGAGTAAACTGGAAACAATGTATAACCACTGGACCTGGGAGCTGAGGAGTCATGTGCTGGAATTACAGAATCAGCTGAACAATCAGATTCAGAATGGGAAAATCCGGACACTCACACCTGACACACTTGAGGGCCCAGTTAATAAGAAATATGAAACAATCAAGCACGAATTTGACAAATATTTTGAAGAAGACACAGATAGGGAAACATTGGTTCAATGGAGAACAAATTTTGAAAATAAGCTACTAATGCTTAAAGGTGCACTTATTACAGACACCAGAAGTAAAGGCAATGAACTCATCAATCTCAAACAAAGCCAAGAAAGACTAGATAACCAAAAGTCACAATATGAAAATGAATTGCTAGAGAAGAGCCGAAAGTTGGCTTTAAGTGTGAAGGGTAAAGAATTAAGTGATAAAGAGTTATATGAGAAATTTGATCAACTTTGGACAAATTGGATCTACAGTGTGTCTTTGACTGCACCTCATGTCACAGAGCCTAACATTGACAGAGATTCTGAAAACATCCTTCTGGATTATTTCAATAAGGAGAAAAACATTGTGGAAAGACTTAAAAAGGACTCTGGAGAGATGTTTGAAATCAATTATGCCAAACATGTCCAAGTGAAAAAATGGTTTAAGGTATTTCCAAAGAGCTTAGAAAGTTGTCATAAAGAATCAATTAAGAAGACTACTAGTCACATTGAATTAAGATTTAATGAAACAATTAAAAACATTTTGAAGCAAAGGCGTGATTACAGTCCAAATGATTTTCATGAAATCTTGAGGATAATAGAAAAAGAACTGAAATCTGTACCTCCTGAGGAAGACTACACATTTACCAGAGACTACAATATTGATTTATCCTTATGTTTATTCCAAAGAGCATCTAAGAGTTTCAAGGAAATAAACAGGGCATTCAAGAGAGCAAATGATCCTGTAAACTATCTGGAGAGAAAGAAAGATGATTTCTTCATCAATTTTAAGATCTCCTGCCAAGGTGCCACCTCCATCACATCCTTTGTTGACTTCCTGTGGCTCAAGCTCACTCCAGCTATCTATGCCACTATATGGGAGCAAATGGGTCCTAAAGTAGCTGGGGACATGAGAGCCACCTGCCCTTCCTTCAATGGAAACAGGGCTAACCTGGAGAAACATATTCTCATTTCTCTGGCAGAAGAAGAAAACTTTGGTAAGTATTGGCAATACATTCATCAGCCAGAAAATTTCTTCAGGAATTACATTAGAGACCACATTAGAAGATACTGTTTTGAAAAAGAAGGTAAAAAAATAAAGACTTTCTTAAAAATAAGTTTAGGTGACATCAAGAATGCCATCCTCACTGCCATTCATGAGTCCACAGCAGTAGCTACAGATAAAGGCAGCACTGCTTCTGCCTGGTTGGATTTGTTCTGTGATCACCTGGGGAGCAACTTGATCTTTCCAAGAAAAGACCTGATAAGCATTGAGCACCAGGAGATAAAGGATATGGAGTTTCTCAAAGAAGTCATGAGCACAGCTTTGGATCCTGCAATGAAGAAGGTAGAAGAGGACTGCACAAGTAAGGACATAGATGAAATGATTCCTGATATTGAGAAAATTCTCTTTGCACAACTCTGTGGCTGCTGGAAACAGTGTCCTTTTTGTAAAGCAATTTGTACCAACACCATTCCCCAGCATGAAGGAGACCACAGTGTGCCATTCCACCGTCCTGCCGCTGTCAATGGATGGCATTGGGATAAAACAGACCACTTTTTCATTGACTTCTGTACTAGTTCAGTAGCAAGTGATCGTTCATTTATTTTAAGTGATAACAAGGTATTCCCATTCAAGAAATATCGAGAAGCAGGAGGTGAGTATGCCACATGGAGCATCACCCCAGACTCATCTACCCAGCCATATTGGAAATGGTTTGTCTGTCACTTCAGATCAGAGCTTGAAGGAAGATATCAAAAAAACTTTAAAAAGTTAGGTACTATTCCAGATTCATGGACCAAAATCACAAAACAAGAAGTAATTGACAACTTGAAAAATAATTACGCAAATAGAATACTGGCACTGACACATACTATACAAGGCTTTTTTGAGGAACCTTCATGATAGTAGCTGATAAACGCAATACATAAAGACAAATCACTTACTATTTCAAGACCTGAAGATTTTCTACTGAAGAGATATTTTCCTGTCTTGATTTCTCCTGCTTTGAATATGATGTACTAAATATGAGAATATATGATAAAAATTAATATCCATTCAAAAGCCTACTTCATACTTTATTATTCTGAATACTTGTTTAGATATATAGTGTGGCTCATTAGAAGTTGTCGTATTAGAAGAGAACTCTAGCATTTCAGTTGCCACTTATCCACTTAGAACAACTAAGTGGCAAATTCAACCAACATATAGGTCTGGGAAAAATATATAATTTGCCTTAAAGTTCTTTAAGTGGATGTTTTTACCCTCTCCGGTTATGAGAAAACATGGCTGTTGAATTTTGAATGCAATTGGCCCCCATAATCTCATAGGAAATGGCACTATTAGGAGCTGTGGCTTTGTTGGAGTGGATATGGCCTTGTTGGAGGAAGTGTGTCTCTGTGGGGGTTAGCTTTGAGGTTTCCTATGCTCAGGATACAGTTCTGTGTTTCAGTCAACTTTCTGTTGCCTGCAAGACATGTAGAGCTTTCAGTTGCAACACCACATCTGCCCGAATGCTGCCATGCTCCCCACCATGATGATAATGGACTGAACTTCTGTGCCAGGGACTGGGATACTGCTGTGATAGCCCTGACCATGTTTTTGTTTGTCATAATATGGACTTTTTTGTGTTAGGAAAGCAGTGGAATGCTTTAACGTGCTGCTTTATGGTTCATACTAATAAGAGCATGGGATACATGGGTACTGATTGTAATTTTATGAACTGTGGGCGTCAAGAGGTTTCAGAGGAGAAGAATGTTATTATGTGGCCTAGAAACTGGTATTATAATATTTTGGGGTGAAGAAAGCAGCTGATTTTGTCCTTATCCAAAGAGTGTGCCTGAGGCTAAAGTGAAAAGTTTTGGATTAACTCCCTTGGCAGAAGAAATCACAAGGCAGCCTGGTGTAGACTCTGTCATGTGGTTACTAGTGTTCATGTTTATACAGATTTATAATGAAAGGGGGCAAGTTGAGCATGGTAAACTACAAAATGAAAATTTTAAGGAGAAAAACAAGCACCAGGAAGTGGAACCTAGCTAAATCCTGTATTTAAAAAGGTAAATGGATCAAGAAATTGAATAAAGGGAGTGGTGATGTCAGGGCAAGATCCCACCCAGCTAAGTTTCCAACTTGTGGGAAAAAAACTAAAGAAAAGCTTGGAGCCCTGTGTGATAGGGTACACTTTTAACCCCAACACTGGAAAGGCAGAGACTGGAAGGTCTCTGAGTTTGAGGTCAGCCTAGTCTAGAGATCCAGTTTCAGAACAGCCAAGTGTAGGCAGTGAAGAAAGCTAGTGAAGATGTAATTGAACAAGGGGAGGCATGTTCTAGTCCCAGTAAGCAGCAGAATTTAGCAGATTCAGCCATCTGGTTCTGGTTTTAGAATTAAGGATAAAAGAAATAGGCTATGAAATTTGGCCCCAAAATTAAGGAAAGCTACTTAGGCCAGACATGTGTCAGGGTGTCCCTGAATGGAGGCCTAGTAGAGAGGCCATTTTGTGAAGCTGTGAAACTGTAGCCTGGATTGTCTTGGAGACCCAAGATGTTAGAGATGTCAGAGTTGTGCGATACTTACCAAAGAGAGCTGTTAACAGGATTAGAACCAGGCAAAGAGAAAGACATATGTTGCAATCAACAAAGCTGAATGGCATTGGAGATTTGCAGAGCATTTTGACATTAGACATGAAGATGCAAAATTTGGACTTTTCCCAGCTGATTTTTGGTCTTGCTTCAGTCCATTATTTTCTCACTATGCTCCCTTTTCTGTGATTTGGAATAGTAATGTATATTCTGTGCCACTACATATTGGAAGTGTGTGATCTGCTTTAGATTTTGAATCTACAGGTGATTACAGTTAAAAGATTGCATAAATCTGAGAAGAAACTTTGAACTCTGGACTTCAAAGCATTATTGAGACTGTGATAGACTATGGGGACTTTTGAAGTTGGACTAAATGCATTTTGCATTATGGATATTGGTATTCAAAACATAGTGTTACCCAGCTACAAACCCTGAAACATATAACAGTGACCTGTCTACAAGATATATTAGTGCAAAAATGGCACAAATTTTGGCAGATTAACCAAACACTTTCTGATTGGATTTAAGACCTACTCCATAATGTAGAATGCATACTGACACTGCTAATAAGGCCAAGAATCTAAGGTAAGATAGGTCTCAGGCTTAGGGGAAAGCCTACTATCATTATTTGGCTAAATAATATGATAATAAAATGATTACTATACCCTATATCAGTGCCTTGCTCAATCAAAGAGGCATTTCCTTATCATAGATGAGAATTAACACAGAAACCCACAACTAGACAATGAACAGAAAGTGAGAGACTTTGGAGCACTCCATCCTAAATGAGATGTCTTCACAAATCCTTCTTCTCAGGGAGACTCAAGGAGCTATACAGAAGAGAAGGCCATATGATTGCTCTAAAAAATTCCATTTAATGCTGGTCATCCATCTTGAAACTTGCTAAAATTTGTATCTGGATTACAAATTCTCAGTAATCTCCAACACAGTGACCCATGTACACACACCCCAAAATGTGTAGCCGTGACCATCTACTTGTTATATGACTAATGACTTTTTTTGGCTTCTGTTATTGGCTTATACACATAGCTACAGATTATTTTTTTCATCTTCACCACTTAACAGCTTAATAGACCGGTTTTTGCTTGCTTGAGTAGATATTGAAGATTTGCACCATAAGAATCCTTTCCTCACCCTTCTTCTCATGGCAGTCTCAAGTTTGGCTCAAAGATTGTTGTCCTGATATCAATTAATCAATAAAACATTTAATTATAACTGGATTGAGTCTATGGTCTTTTGTAAGTCTATTGTCTTTCAAAATAACATTTGGATGCCCCTGCAAGATCCCTGGGAGTCCCTAGACTCAGCACTGGGGATCTGAGATAGGCCCCATATACTTTGAAGCCCAGGGAGCCCAAGACCATGACTCCACAAATTAAAGGTTGCTAGTAGGTAATAGACCCCAGAGGGATCAAGTTCACCTTGTTAGGGCCCAGGGAGTCCATATTGCAACTTGCCCAATTTTGCAAATTGGAAGCAAAAACAAAATTAAGAATTGCCAACAAACATGCTGAAGTTCAGGCTGATCAGTGACTTGTTCCTTTCTGTTTTGAAATCTAGACATTTGAAGAGCTAAGGGGAGATCAGAGGAGATCATAGACCCATTAATCAGGGCAGAGTGAATGCCCTACTGTCCTTGTGGTTTTGATGTATGAAAGAAGGTGGTCACTATATGTCTGAGTTCATCTGGTCTTCCCTGATTGTGTTCTTGTATTGGCTTTCTACCTTGTTATTGTAGGGGAAAAGGGTCAGTCAAAGAAATACACCCTGACCTTGAAACCAAAGCGAGTGAAAGAAACATACCTTGGCTCTGAAACCAGAGCCAAAGAAGACACACTCTGTCCCTGACCAACTGAGCATGAAACCAACCAATTCCCAAGCAGAAAAACCAACCAATACCGAAACACAAAGTTCAGCCAATCTCTTGAGCTTGTCCAACCAATTCCCACCCTGAAAATCTTCACCTTGGAAAAGCTCCACTCCTGAGAAGTCCTATATAAGCCCTATGCCTGTTCAGCTGAAGGCTTCCCTTTCCTACCCTGGCAGAGGCAGCCACTCTCCTGGATTCCTCCCTCCCAATAAATCTCTTGATTGAGTTTTGAGTGAAGACATTCTTTTGCCAGAGCAGAGCAGAGAAGGAATGGGCATCCATGCTTGGAAACTCCCTTAGTGGAGTGAAACAGAGAGGTAACAGCTTTAGCCAGAGAAGAGAAGCAATGGGCATCTTTGCTTGGAAACTCTCTTACCTAAGTGGATCAGAGCTGAGCAGCAATGGAGAGTAGCAGGATTGCCACATCCTGCAGGGAGACCATCCTCCACTGGAATACAGATGTAGGTATAGCCTGGCTTTCCGACAGCCAGGATACTTTTCTCTTCACTGCTGTAGGTATCCACAATACCTTCCCTTCACAACTGTAGGTATAACCAGACTTCCTGGCAGTCAGAATATCTTTCCCTCAAGCGCTGAAACACTTGCATTATCCTTTGTTGGACTTTTCAATTTTGTTGCATAGATGGAAATCAGACTAAGCACAGCTGCTGTATTGTCCCTAAGCTTCGTGCCATATTTTCAGGATTTTCTAGAGGCAGATTTCTTCTGCCCGACTCCACACCACGCACTTCTTTATGCACAGCCTTCTGATTGCAATTCTTTTCCCTCCCTCTGCTTTTCAAGACTGTCTTTTGTCCTGCTTGACCTATCTTCTAGCTTGCCATGGAGCTCTGGCTGCCACCTCCTCAACCCTGCCTTTGCCTCCAGGCTGGGGTGATGCAAGAGCCCCTGTGCATGACCCTCTTTGGTACCATAACCCCCCTCTTTCTCTTCCTGCTGCTCACTGTGCTGCTGCAGCTGACCAACACCCAGAATTTTCTTATTTCTAAGCCTTCTTTGCTCTCTGCTTCCTCTGGTCTCTCTTTTTAATCCCTGGATTTGGTTTTGCATGGATTCAAGCTTCTTTTGGGGTATAGATAGTATAGTTTTATGCTTTTCTACTTTATTAAAAAGCTGGGTGTGGACTTGGGTAATGTTCTCTCTCTCCCAAATCAAACATGTTTCAGTAAAAATTTCTTCCTTTGTCCTAGGTCAGAAGCTCATTTGACTCTAGGACAAAGAGAGGAAACAAAACATCCCAGGAAAAGTCACTATAAGCCCTTTTTTTTTTCGTTCTTCCCTTATACATCTTGACCACTGTTTTCCCTCCCCTCACCCCTTCCAGCCTCTCCCCCTACATCCCCTCTCTCCCAGACCCATTCCTTCATTCATTCCCCCCTGAAAAAAGGAGGCTTCCCAGGGATGTCAACCAAATTTGGCACAAGTTACAGTAAGACTAGTCATAAACCCTCATATCAAGGCTGGACAAGGCACCTAGTCAAAGGTAAAGGGTCTCAAATGCAGGCAACAGAGTCAGAGATATCCCCCACTCCCACTATTAAGAGTCCTACTAGAACAGGAAGCTATAACATATATGCAGAGGACCTAGCTCAGATGCATGCAGAGTCCGTGTTTGTCACTTCAATCTGTGAGCCCCTGTGAGCCCTGTTTACTTGAATCTATGGCCATGTTCACTTGGTGTCCTTGACCCCTCTGGTTCCTACAATCCTTCCTTCCCCACTTCTGCAGAGTTCCCCTGGCTCCGCCTAGTATATGGCTGTGGGTCTTTGCATCTGCTCCCATCAGTTACAGAATGATGCCTCTGATGACAATTTGGGTTAGGCATTGTGTAGCGGTAATGCCCGCATTACCAATACCCGTTCACCATGTCCGAGCAAAGGGCTGTGGATTAAAAAATAGAGACAAGAGACAGCGAGTCATTCGTACGATTGGATGTCGAATGCCGTTTATTGAAAGAGGGGGGAAACCTTAAATACGTACAGGCTTACAGCACAAATGGAGGAACCCCCGGAGGGCAGAAGTTCGCTGTCAATGGTCTACATTCCAGACTCAATGTTCTACAATCTAGCGTCTAA